ACCGTGCACTATGATACAGCAACACACTATTAACACTCTCGCTAGACGGCTGAGCTCGCGCTATCTAACAAGATATACACTATACTAACAATCTTTAACACATTTACAATCCCAACTAAACTATTGGCCAGTACCTTGAATGGACTACCTAAAACTATATACACCCGTTTTGGTTAGCCACACTGCCCAAGCACCACATATAGCGAACTAGAGGGCGGAATTTACAAAATTGCCCTTCTAGTCTATTTACTCTATCAAAAGTCTAGTGGGTTCCAAATTTACACGCCTTCCCACTTAGCCAAGATAGGTTGAGAGCTAGCGAACCGAATTTACACAGGCGCCGCTTAGTCTCCCGGTCCCTCCGACCTAGCGAACGTAATATACACCCTAGAACGCTAGTCTAGACAAGACACCGGTGTCCGGCTAGGGCTATTTACACAGGACCCCGCCTGACTAACCAGATCAAACGGTCTTACTAAAGAGCGTTCGATCGAGCGGTGCGCCTTCGCTCCTTCCCTCCGACAGAGGGGGCAGATTCCATACACAGATTTAAACCCCTTTTGGGCCTACCGCACAATCGGTATACCCCTAGTGGGTCTGCCGTCTAAAACAGCAGTTGTCTTACCTCCTCGCTCCTGAACCTGAGTTCACACTCATCGACGGGGACACCCCAGCACTTCTTACGTAGAGGCCGATGATCTCCTGGACAACAGACCAGTGGCGCCGAGACGAAGGGAGGTCCACGCAGAAGTTCAGGGGTGCAGCCGTAGAGAACGTGGGCAAAGATAGACCGTCTCACGCCTCTGCCTCTCAGCTACCGTTGAACGATGAGCTTCCCGGCCAATGCACCAAATGATACCGGAGAAACTGACGGAAGCAAAGCACAGAGGGATGGACACAGGTTTCTTCAGGAAGGAAGAGATTCTTTATTGGATCACCGATCGGGACTCAGAGGGACTAATGTCACCAAAAATACAGCAAGTTCTGAGCCCTGAACAATAGTGCAGGCTCCCTATATAGGCACATAACTCCTCCCATATTAAGCTCCACCCGCACATTCTCTTGACCAATCATTACAAATAAGAATTAACTTCCTGCTTGACCGCATGGCTTGTCCAGCACAATGGAGGAGGGGAATACTACATCCTGTATTCTTGCACATGCTCCGTACACTACTGATCGTATCTTGCCTCGTGCAACCAACTGATCGATACGTCAGCATATGCACGTACACATGCCACGTGGTAATCTCGGCCTACTAAATTTATTTTTACCGAGATTCCACCACACTCCTACTATTTTGTGTGATTTTTCCTAATTAGGGATAGCAAACCTCCAGCATGCTGGCTTTGAACATAGTGATGTTAAACCCTTATTTCTACACACTTTACCCAGCTAAAGCAGCATCTGCTAGGGAGTTTCCAGGGCAATCACTGCACATTCACTGTAGTTGGTATGCTTGGAAGAGCAGAAAAGACCTCACACAGACAGTCCTTCTGCTCTCCCAAGTCAGTCAAGTCATCGGCATAGATTCTTTGCCAAAGATTTGAGTGACAAAAAGGAGAAAGATTAATTTTTAAATAGTTTTTTCCTCACAAGCTATATATTTGCTAAAGAGATACCAAGCACAATATATAGATGAAATATCATGATCTTTCAAAAGAGCATTAGTGACTTGGGGCATGTTGGGTCCCCTTTAATAAGTAGTACATATACAATTACGTAAATCGGCATCCATGCAAAATATTTTAGAATGAAGCATTTGGTTAATTTGGATTCCAGCTTTTTAAAAAGTAAATGGCACATGAGGTAACAGTAGAGAATTTGTGGGATGGTTCACAACTGCTAGGAGGATTGAACTTTTAGAAACTGCATTGTTCAGACCAAGAACTCTTGGTAAAGTGGCATCCTTCACGGTGTAAAGCCAATTGACAGCTTACACAGCCAGTTGTGGGCATATTGCCATGTACAGGGACAGTCTGCAGTGATTTTATCACACAAAGCATACTTCCATTTTGAAGTGAAATTTGCCAGTAAGAGACAATGGGTATAGGTTTCAGTCCCGTACTGTATTGTAACTGTTGAATTCCAAGCATTGTCCACATTCTACATGCTACAACCTTTAATTCACCTGCATTGTGAACATTCCATCTCACACCTGGATGCCGCATCATGCTAAACATTCTAGTCACTCAGTCCTGTCCAATCACATACACAGTTAATAAGGCACATTAGCAAAATGGTGCGAAAGGCAAATGTTTTAAAGGAAATGTAAAATAACTCTATATGGAACATAGATCCAATTTAGATAGTCAGGTGACAGCTGGGATCTGTAGACCTGAAGCTGTTAGTGGAGAATTTGCTTTCCTTTACAGGATTTACCATACAGAGGAATTACAATACCATATAGAATGCCTTAATATAAGAATATGATATGGGGTTCTTCAGTAAAGCAAATTACCACAATAAAAAGCACATATGATGTAACTTGGTTAATTAAAGAGGAAAAACTAAACAAGCAATATGGAACATTTCACAGGATCACCTTTCTCTCCCCTCCCACATTACAGAATCTGTTCTCCCCTGATTGTTGGCTTGGAAGTCAAGAAAGAAGTATATTGATGGGAAATAGACTACCAGCTGCTTAATTCACTAAGCATAAGAAACAAAACCAAAAAAAAAACAAAACCACAGGACAGAATGGATTCCAGGATTTACATGTATTGGGTCACATGGGAAACAAGTTAAGGTCACTAGACCTCCCCCCTCTCACCAAGTGATGGGAGATCTAATGGGAACCAGGAAGTGGTTTGTAGAGAATCTCAGAGTCCACTTGAAGGCCAGCTGTGCAGTCATGTTACCAGTCAGTGGAAAGAGAGGAGAACAATCAATTTGATGTGGAACACAAAATAGCTAAAATTCTCCTACTTTTTGCCCCAACACATTACGGAAAAATTAATGGATCGTACAGCTGCTCATCACACAAAAGCGAGCTGGAGCATAATATTCTAGCTGAAGCAAAGTATATGGAGAGATACAGGGATACTTTACAACGTATAGGGAACATGTATACAAAAACACGATATATTCTAAAAAGAAACACTGTATTACAGCATAACATTAGATTGGCTTTAGATGGTCATGTGACTAATTTACTCAAATCCTGGAGAGACAAATGTTCAGATTTGTCCTAACATACTGGAATGTATCTACTCCCCTGTCATGAAAGGGGTTAATATAAGCAGTAGTAAAGAGCTACTCGGGCTTGCAACAGATCGGTTGTGGTTGAGGTGTATGAATACCTGAAAGAGTGAAGCTGAATGCAATTAATATTTTAATAGTTTTGTGAACACTGCTCTACTTTTACATTCTAGGAGTGATGTCCAAAGCTCTCAGATCAAGAATGGTTTGAAAAATAGTTTAAAGTTAGAATCTGTGTATGTGTGGAGGAACTAGCATAAATTGGTAGATTGCATTGATGTATATATAACTTTTTACATAACCATACATTATTGCCAAGGGAAACTGTGACGAAGTGCCCTACGCCACTTGCTTTTGGAGGAGCCTAATTGCCAGCCTCCTGCCTTATGACTATGGCCCTTTAAAAACATTATTTGGGCATATTAAGACTTTTGAGACAGTGCCCCTTTAACACTGTGTCCCCAGACTGAAAATATTTTGTTTGTGTCCTTTTCCTATAATTGTTCGGTGATTGGGGCTTACCGAACCAATTACTGAACAGGCGGACCCCACGCAAGTGTGCAGCCCATTTACCTCCCAGGCTGGTGGTTAACCGCAAGTTAATTGACGAACGCTGGGTGGCCGCCATTCGTATAGTCGAACATGTGGCGGCGGCCATCTTGTTTAGTCGAACGCGGTCAGCAGTGTTTTCCCGTCGAGCTCATGGAACTGAAATCTGCTACACGACAGCACGAACACCGCTGAACCTTACCTTCTTTGTCACTTCGACGGAAATCGAAATGCGTTTGAATATTCAAACGCTGCATTAATATGGGATATTTGCACGAGTGGCCCCTGTCTGTGCATTCAAATGGGACTTGGTCTTTTTTCTATGTGAAATAGACCGACCGCACAGCCCAAATCTATGGAACTCTTTTGGGCAGGAAAGCCATGCTTGTGGTCGGTCAAATAGGACTACCAGTTATCTTCAGAACCACTGAACCAATTCGGATGATTTTTACATAAGTTTGTATACTGATTATGCTGGTTCAGAATATGTAAATTGCATGTATAGTTTCGAAGTTATGAATATTGTATAAAACTGTATATTTTCCTGCCTGTGATAATTAAGTTAACCCATTGTGTTCAGTAATTATATCACAGGCAGAGGGGAGGGTGTGTGTGTAGTATTTGGGAGTGTTTAAATATACAAGTCTGTCCTGATTGGTTTTTACAACATTATATCCTGTATTCCACAAGGTCCACGTGGGTGGTAACCTTGTGGGAAAACATATATATATAAGTGCCAATAAACCCTCAGACTGCTGAGTTCCTGTTTTACCCTCAACATAGAGCCTCGTCTCATGTGTGGGGGAAAAGGCTGCATCTACACTGGGGATTGCTATACTCTGTATACTCCCCTGGCTATAATCACTAAGCTCTTTTAAGAGCTTGTTCCTGCTTTGCTCTCTGAAAGAAGAGAGGTTCGGTCTGCAGTGCTTATGGTGTCGAGTGGAGTGCTTGGAGCCCTCAGGAAGCACTATGATCATCCATCAACAGAGGTACCCAGTCGGGGTGCCAGGTGATCCATTACAGAAACAATCCCAGGCATACTTAAATTTAATCATTTCTGTTTTAAGATCAATAAACAGATTTCTGTACCTGTACCTCTGGTTTTATTTTGTGGCACATCTAAAGTGGGGTAAAAAAGAAACATGAACCGTTAACATGTTTGTATTCGAAACCAGCAACAAAATAATTTAACTTGTCTGTTCTGTGTTAAACTAACTGAATGACACGAGAAATAAAAGCACACCATATTCTTTTGAAAAACTAATATGCAGGTTTATTTCAGAGAAAATTACAACCAGCCTTCAGAGGTCTATCAATAAATATAAAAAAATAAATAATTCGGACAAACCGTATTAACACTGAGCATTAAGCGCAACTCTTAATACAAAAACAAGGCACAGCAGAAATAAATTATAAAAATAAAATAAGGAAAATGAAGAATCTGACATGTGAAACAAGGCACTTGTCGGTAATTGCCTTCCCAAAAATATAAAATTGAAACATAACACATCGTTCGCTCTATAATTTTGTTATATTACACTGTAAAAATCTGCAAAATAGAACAAAAAAATATTTTTTTTTTCTTGGGGCCGTACAACAGAAAATGTCTGGGTTATTACTCAGTAGGGCTCTTGGTAGGTACAGACAGTAAGTGTGTATGTTTAAGTCACAAAAACTCGGTGCGGATTAGTGCACAAAGATAACAGGCCATTGAATAGCTTAAAAAGCAGATTATCCCTCTGTTTGACAGAAGTGCACATATGATGAATAATGATTTTCACACACTGTCTAACAAATGTCCATTACAAACTCTTAGGGGCTTGGTATAAGGAGCAATTCTGTAGCAAAAACTTGTAAAAATTTGAACATTCTATAGGTTTCCAAAGCGATTGCTCCACTTTTATAACAGCGATCAAGAATTGTTCTATGTGCACAGCCCCAACTATCATCTTCACTTTGAGAATACAAAAAGGTTAAAATTGTTATTTTGGAATAGGGTGTAAGGCCTGGACAGCAGCTCACTGATGTATCTGTATGAGGGAACTGGGAAGCTTCTGTGGAAGGAAAAGTTATCCAGACTCAATGTAATAATTCTGATTTGCCCTCAGGCAGGTTAATATAGAAAAGAAAAAAAAAAAGTCAAAGTGAACTTGTCTCTTGTACCATTTCAAACAGACATCAGCTGTAATAAACTGTTTCTAAAAGAAAATATGTAGAATTATATTCTCAGCTGTTGCCAAGCTTGTAATTTATGGGGAATGCGCTGAAGTCTTGTAACTGGCCAAATGTTTTGCGTCTTCCCCTCACTTTGGATCCGGAAGGATGTCAGAGGGCTGGTCTTTATAAACTTTAAGTCCAATAAAAATCAAAGTGCTCTCTCAAGTCCAGCAAACGCACTGCATTCTGCAGGAATGGCCTTTAGAATGATTAAGGATTTACACACAGGAAGAAAAAGATAAAAGAAATGCAAGAGCCGATGGATGTCCAGTGGGCGTCTGGATATCAGCTCCTGAAATGCCTTACTGCAATCACATCCACTACAGTCTTAATGAGGTGTGTGTGTTCTGCTCCCTATCCCTGTAGCAGTCTATATGAAGTGCACACTGGCATGACTGCACCATTACAAAGCATACACAGAACATGAGGGTCCACAGACTGGACTGCCCATGTGCGCTGGTGTTTCCTTTCACCAACCCTTTACAATTCGCATCCTGCTCTGGAACCCAATGCGTTTAATTTCAAGTATGCCCATGTTTCTGGGGCCATGGAAGGAGGTTCTTATTTTGGTCACAGAAGATATGGAAACTGGAGCTTCATGAAGGTACTGTTGCACCTCACTGATCCTTTAATGCTTAGGGTTCTTGTGCTAAACTGGAGGTTCAGATTGGGATCCCCATGGTACTAGCCTGCTCCTTTAATCCCAGGATACTGAAAGCAATCCGTTTCTGGTGTCCCGGGAGCCGTATGCCGAGCTGCTTGATTTCACTGCAAAGGAAAACACAAATCATTAACTCTTAACTCAAACCTGAGAAACTCCGCTATTCGGAGTAATCAAATATAGTGCTTAATGCTCTTCGTCTACGCATGCTGTCCATTGATGCTTTGACCAATGCTTCCTCATTAGCTTAAGTAGCACAGAGGGGCCTGGCTGAAATGGACATTTAACATTAAAGGACCACTGTAGGCACCAAGACCACATAGGGTTAACCCTGCCTGCTGTACACATCGTTTCAGAGATAACTTTTGGGTTAATCTAGCCTCTAGAGGCTGTCTCATTGACAGCCACTAGAGGCGCTTCTCACTGTGATTATCAAAGCGAGAAGACAGCAACGTCCATAGGAAAGCATTGAGAATGCTTTCCTATGGACTGGCTGAATACGCGCGTGGCTCTTGCTGCGTATGCGCATTCAGCTGATGACGGGGAAAGGAGGCGGAGAGTCTCTAGCACCAAGGGAGCCCGGCGCTGGAGAAAGTTAAGTGTTTAACCCCTTCCTCTCCATCCAGCCCGGCAGGAGTGGGACCCTGAGGGTGGGCACCCTCACTTAACCTCAGGGCACTATAGTGCCAGGAAAACGAGTTTGTTTTCCTGGCACTACAGTGGTCCTTTAACTATTCACTGAACAGAGGAATGATACAAGGAGACTATAGGTACTATAACCCCTACAACGAGATGAAGTGATTACACTACCTAGAGTGTCCCTTTAATAGACAAGAATCTAGAAGGGATTACGCATATCTTTAAATATCTGTGTATAAAAAAACAAAAAAAAACAAAAAATACAAAAAACCCAAAAACCATGAGTCGCATTAAATTCAGGCACGCATATCATGTGCTAACAAACGACTCAGGAGACAATCTCAGAATTTACAGACAGAAAGCCAGTTGCATGCATTGTAGGAGCTACTGCATGTGTGAATTAGGAGTCTGACTTCCATGTAAGCTCTGAGACTTTGCGCACAGTCTATAAATCAGGACACTCACTCTTGGTTCATGAGGATAATCTTATCCATAGAATTGAACTGAGAGGACATGAAGCAGTCAGTGTATTGCTGCATCTTGATGGATTCGAGCCACTCTGCAACGTTCCGGAAAGGCATTCCTTCTGAGCCGCTGGTGCTGGGCAGGCGGATTGAAATCCTAGGAGGACAAAGTATTGGAGGTTATAATTATTCCCCAAAATAGCTCCACAAAGTCCAATCTAAGAAAAAGATTGCTGATTCAATTGAGAGGTCAATGAGCTGAAATTTCTAGCATGCAGAATGTTGTATGGACACAGAGTTTGCCCAAAGCTCTGTAATTACACCTTACTGAAAACATACCTTGGGTCAAAATCAGCCAAAGTCTTCAGTGAGTCCGGATTTCGGATAAGCTTGTCCAGGAAACTGACAATGTCTGCAAATTTGGGCCGACGACTACGGTCCTGCTGCCAACACTGCATCATAAGTTGGTATATTGCAGAGGGGCAGTCCATGGGAGCCGGGAGACGGAAACCCTCATTAATGGCCTTCATGACCTGTAATGGGCACAGAGGAGTCAGGGAGAGGGCTCACACACATTGCATTGGAGTATTATTTTAGCAATGAAACGTTATTCTAGCAAACAGCAGACACCACAAAGTTCCTGACAGGAAGTTATTTCATTTCATGTGAGAGCAGAAAAGATGAATGACCATTAAAGAAACTTAGACTGTGTCACAGATAGGAAGCAAATGACCCTGTTAAATTGCACTCTGATTATCAAGACTCACTTTTTTAGTTCTCCTATGCTTTTTATGTCACCGATAGCCTTTACTATGTCCTCCAGAAATCTAGTCCAGGTATCTACTACCCTTTCTATATAAAACTTTTAGCCTTTACTGCTCCCACTGGAAGGCTATTCCAGGTATCTACTACCCTTTCTATATCAGGGTTACTGCTCCCACTGGAAGGCTATTCCAGGTATCTACTACCCTTTCTATATAACATTTAGCCTTTACTGCACTTAATGAAGGCTATTGAAAACATCTACAACCGAACCTGTAAAATATTTCCTTGTTACATTTCAATGTCCCCTTCCCTAACTTTTAAAAGTAATTCCTGGAGAATTCTCACCTCCTGGTTAGACATTTCCCAGTAAGGCCGCTCGCCATACGACATGACTTCCCACATGACTATGCCATAGCTCCATACATCACTGGCAGAGGTAAACTTCCTGTAGGATATGGCTTCTGGAGCTGTCCAACGAATTGGGATCTTCCCACCCTGCAAGAGACAAGTAAATGAGAGATGAAATAACAAGGCTATAAAACAATCCTTCTCAAATAGTCTTTTCCATAAACTGCAACCCATGTGGAAAGCATATGGAAATCAATTCAGGGCTGTCTCTACAGCAACAAGATAAAACAATGACAGCTGACACCACCAGGGAAAACAAACCTTTAGAACTGGTATCTAATCAAGTCACCACCCTGTGCTCTGGCAGCACTGCCCTAAGAGTAATCAGAGTGAATGCTGACAATGCTCTCCCGCATCCTCTGGCTATAAGATACTCACACTGGTTGTGTACGTTGCCTCTGGGTCATCTTCCAGGACGCGAGACAGACCAAAATCAGACACTTTGCACACAAGTTGGCTGTTCACCAGAATGTTACGAGCAGCTAGATCCCGATGCACGTAGTTCATCTCTGAGAGATATTTCATGCCAGCTGCGATGCCCCTGAGCATGCCCACCAGCTGGATGGCGCTGAATTCGCCATCATTGTCCTATGGGTGCAAGGACATGAGATTACTGAATAATAGTTCTTGTATTTACTTTCCTAATTTAATGGGATATTTGAGAAAACAGAATTATAATAGAGAATTAAAAAAATAAAAGACCCCCCTTCCTTCACCTTATATATACCACCCTGATTAAATCAAACAAATAAATAGCCTTGAGACCATTATTTCCTGAATTTATATAGTTTTTAATCCCAGAACCTGCTCAATTAACTTACTTTTAGAAATTTGTCTAGGGCTCCATTCTCCATGTGTTCTGTTATAATCATCATGGGCTTATCTGAGTGGGAAGGAGGAGATATATGAATACAAATCATCTAAAAACAAGCAAAGCTCCAATAATTGCTGCATTGGAAAAAAAAAAAAATAGAATAATTCTTACATTTTGAGATGACCCCTTCCAGGCGGATAATGTTGTGGTGACAGAACTGTCCCATGATGCTTGCCTCACTCAGGAAGTCAATGCGCTGTTTGTCTGTGTAGCCAGCTTTCAGGGTTTTTATGGCCACTGGTATCTCCTTCTTTCCTGGGAGCTTCAAGATCCCTTTATAAACCTCACCAAACTCACCTAATAAAAAAGAAAAGTTGAGGTCAAAGAGGACATTCCTGGAATTAAAACCATATAGAAATTATTTTCTACCCTTATAGTCAATACAGTTCTATTTTTTGGAAAATTGGAAGTGTTGCTTACCGGCCCCAATCACTTTTTGCTGGGTCACAGCATTGGGGGGGATCTCTGTGGTAAATTTCAGAACAGCTTTGTTAGGGTCCTCGTATGTGTGGGGGTCTACATAGGTTTTAAGGGGTTTCAGTTGCTCTGTGAAAGAGGAGGATTGTGATGAAAAGATCAAATCAGAGAGGGAAAAAAAAAAAAAAAGAAATGAGAAAGAAAGAAAAGAAATATATCTGCTTACCAGATTTAGAAAAATACACATCCTCAGGGGACTGCCGACCACGGCCATGTCTTTTGCTGAAAAATAAATCATGGAAAGGGTTAAATGCTGCATGACACAAAGTGCACAGGATAGAACACTCATTAGGAACAGCAGTGCATAAAATGAAATAATCACATCTCCAGTCAGCCCTGAGTGAGGCACACTGAACTTACCTCCTATGCAGAAGAATGACTACTATTATTAAGACCACGATTACAGATACTCCGGCTGCTGCCCCTCCAATAATGGCAGCCTGGTTTGTACCCTCGGAGTCTGTAGAAAAACAAAATCCAAATAATCAAACTGTGTAAAGATAAGCAATTCAATACCCCAATTATACATCCTGTACAAAATACTGTGCTGGTATCTCTCAGTCCTAGCTCTGCAAAGCTATCATCGATTAGAATAGACTACATTTTTTTTAGAATAAAACACTCTGCTGCCTTCACTCACCAGAAGATAACGTTTCAAATTCATACTCCATGCTCCCAATGCCTCCAGCTCCAGAGCCATCAGGCGTTATAGCCTGAACCCGCACTACATAAGTGGTCTCAGGGGAAAGTTTGTTGAGGGTTATGGAATTCCCCTCACAACGCTGAACAGAGTAGCTGTTCTCATCATTCTGGAAAAAAAAAGGGTATTAAGATTAGTTTCTGAATAACCCTCTGGTACAAATGATCGGTTAATATCCACTGTAGAGTGATTTAGAGAACAAAGGGTGTTGCCTGTGTGAAGCATGGGTTTCAAATTAAAAATGGCTTTATTGACATCATCCAAGGACAACTAACTACAAATTTGTGATGGTTAGGAATATTGCAACAAATCTGTATAGCATGCATTCCTGATTCTATAGTGTTATAGACACTATATAGGTCACTGCCTCCCCATTGACCCCCTTAAAAACAAACAAACCACAAAACGTATTATTCCTGTGCCGTGAGGGTCAGCATCAGGACGGACAGGACAAGGACAGATTATGTTAGCCAATCAGGGGCGAAGCCAAACACTGCATTGGACAATCAGCATATCTGCTCATTGAGATGCACCGAATCAATGCATCTCTATGAGGAATGTTCAGTGTCCCCATGCAGAACCAAGAGACGCTGAACTTCAGTGCTGCACAACCCTGGAAGCCCCTCTAGTGGCAGTTTGAGTGACTAGGAATCAATGTAAACACTGCCTTTTACATGAAAATGCCTGCAGAAACGGATTATAGACACCAGAACAACTATATTAAGTTTTAGTTGTTCTGGGGACTATAGTGTACCCTTAAATTTTCCTGAGATTAGTGGGTGAGAATTTTAGGATTATGCAGAGTAAGCAACGGTCACAAAACTGTACTACATGGTCTGTGACCATTTATACTGTATAGGACTGCAATCTTAGCGTTCATATAAAAAGCTTACAAAGTTATACTAGATGATATGCACTGTTATCCCCACACTAATCAGCTCATTATGATGTATCCAAGTGACCTGAAGATGCTGGAACAATGCAGGGTAGAACATGGCTGAATAGGATGTGGTGTACCTTCTTGTTATAGGTGATCTCGTACTTCCAGGACCGGTTTGGCTGACGTGGCGGCACAGTCCAAGAGAGAGTGAGGGAATTCATGCTTCGTTGTTCCAGATTCACAGATGTCACTTTTGGGGGTTCTGAAATTAGAGCAAGGGGTACACAGTGTTCACAACATCCTAGGAATATGTTACTGAATGCTGGCAATACACTTAACAAGCAGCCAGTTCTTTACCTGTCTGATTCAAGCTGACATGTATGGTTGCAATGCTACGTCCAGAGCTAACATCTGACACCCCATTTCGGGCCTCTACAGTGAAGGAGTAGTTGAGATGAGGTTCTAGGTCACTTATGCTTAAGGTGGTACCCTTCAGGCTGTCTGGGCTCTCAGAGTACCGGATGCTGTCATCACATGCTTTGCAGTCACCAGGCTCTGGAAAGCAGAGCTCACATGTTACTTTGTAGGTAACATCTTCACGGCCTCCAGTGTAAGAGGGAGTGGACCAACGCAGCATAACCTTGGTTCCAAAGCCTACGGCAGTGAGATCACGAGGAACCGATGGGGATCCTGAAGCAAGACACAAATACAAGAATTAGCGAATTACAACAGTTCGTGCACTTTACAAATAATACGACAGTGCCAATATTGATCCTAATACTTTATTAGATTTTGTATAAACTTACGGGTACAGGAGGCTGATATGGCGTCTGTTAAAGCTCGGAAATAGCCATCCTGGCATGGACAGGAAGTGGCGCCCACAGAAGATGGCTCCGTGTGCTTTGGACAGGGATCACACTGGCTATTAGATGGTTCAGCTTTGAAGAATCCGGGTTGACAAGCTGGAAGAGAGGGAGAAATGGTTTGTTAATTATTCATGCTGCAGGAATTACATATATAGACAAAAAAAATAAAAAAATAAAATAAAAAGGTACCCTCTCAAACTACAGCTTCCTGGTGGTGTTTGAGTAAGGGTCTTTCTTACTACACGAAATGTTTGAATTTGACTACTTGAAAAAAATAAAACGTTGTGACCTTTTGAGTGATAATTGACCGTTTTCACTACGAAAAGTTATATAGTACAAAAGCATTCTGCTGTTTCTGTTAGTCAAGCTAAGGTTATTCTAAACCTTAGCTTGACTAACAGAAACAGATACAGAAGTTTTGAAATCTCTGCCCATAAGCTTACAACGTGCAAATGTTTATGGATTTTTTCTACATTTCCAATATGGCACATAAACGCAATGTCCTTTATCGATGATTAGATATAATTTCAGTATCAACCAAATGAATGTGGCATGCCCACTAATACGCAGAGACCAGTCCCCATGCTTTATACAGCAATAAGCATCTTCACTCCCTCTGCCAATGCAGGTATCAATGCAAACCTCCATGAGCAAAGAAACAGCCATCTGAGGAGCTTTAATAGTATGAAAGGAAAATCTGAAGGACCTTCTTGGAATTTGAGAGATTAACTACTTCACTGCTGAATTGTAAGCTCAGTATATTAATAAAATAACACTCACGGTGCCGATTGCTCTTAAACATTTTATCTTGTCACTCTGCAGAGTTCCATTGTTCTACATCACATTTCACTCTTTAATGCAGAAAACTCATTTATCAGACACACAGTGAGCGTGCACTATATATGGCTCAGGACAATAGTGTGTTATATATCAATACAGTATCTACACAGCTCCATGCTTTAATACTTACTGCTTCAAGCACCTCCTTCTGAATGGTTAATAAGGAAATGCTGCAGATGCATACACTTGCTCACCCACACATGACATGGCCCAAAGTAAAAAAGGATTTTTTTTTGTAATTTTACACCTTTACACCTAGATTTTCCTCTAGTAGAAACCACTGGGTGTAGCCACCACGCAGCAACACTGAGCAGCAAACCAAGGCATGGCTCATCGAGTGTCATGTAAGGATTTATTCTATTTACCCTGACATTCACTGAACTCCAAATGAGCCAAGTTGCACATTCCCAAGCGATACTTGGGTACATGTTTCCACTGATCACATAGATGATGAACTTTCTGTGGCTCATTTGCAGTTTTCCACTATTCCCTCACACATGGCCTCTCTAGGCACAGGGTGCAGCCAAAAAGCACTCCTCTAGGTGAACCGGTTTTGCAGCAAGCAAAGATCAGGCTAGTAACCCCAGAATAACCTCATTCCAAAACGCAACAAAAAAAAACCAAAACACACTAACACTAAACTAAACACTAAAAATGATCTCTCCTGCAACTAGCCAGTACACAGTTGGTAGGAATGTTGGGAGCTGGAATATATTCTGTTTTTTTGGGGTTTTTTTTTTGTAAAACAGCCAAAATGCAAAAACAATCAAGTGATTAATGGTGCCACATTCGCTGTAGACAAAAATGTCGATTTAAAGTGATAGTTCAATACAACTTCAATGACTTGGTATGGTACACAAATACATATGAAGTATTAGCTATACCAATGCTTACAAAGTGAATGTTTTTGAAGAACAGCAAATAAATCCAGCAAAACAACGGGCCCTTTGATCTTCTAGCAGTAAACACAACACAGGAATATATTCAGTTCATGGGAGCAGTTTCTCTGGGTGTCAGGTGAAGTTACTTGGGGCTATGTAACAACGTCTTTAAAATGGTCAGAAAGTTAAAGTTCTTTGATGTGTAGCAAACGGTGAGTAGTTTAGTTTTCTACTGGTGTTTTGGTTGTGTTATGACTGCTGTAAGATGGGACTAACCCATGTCATACATAGAGTAAAAATAAAGTTAAGCCCCTTTTATTCTTGAGGTCAGAAGTAGGTAAAAGAAGGTAGAAAAGCAAGTAGAGAACAATGACCAGATCAGAAGTATGATGGAGGCAAGAACATTGGATTAGACCACTGTTCCTTTGTCTTTGAGTACCAGGAGAGGATTACAGGAGGCAGGAAGAACGATGTAGGGCAGAGGCTCTAAGAATATAACAAGTGTTTAATCCTTAAAATAAACTTAGGTTTCCTGCCTGAGGCCCAAGCTCAGAACATAAAAGGAAGTCAGCTGGACACAGCCCTAAAGGTCATCGAAGACCCCAAACATACAGTGAAGAGACTCCCTGGTGAGATACAATGTAATCCTAAATTTAACCAGAGAACGTGTCGGTTGGAAAATGGTTTTAGAAAAGTACAAACAAGATCCCAACAATAGAAACCAAGTGAGATTCAGACTCACTCCCACAATAGCACTAACCCGAGAGGGTCTATGGGTAGGTTTATCCTGTCTAGCACAAATCTGAACATACAGCGGTCATATGTTTAGTTTAAAAAAAAAAAAAAAAAAAAAATACTTTGAGGTGTGAGATTTATTCAAGCAAAGTACACATCTCAACAGAACACAGCTGTTGAAAGATGTAGAAATTAGAAATTGTTATAACCTATTATATGGCACTACTGAATACATAGGCAATGTTTAATTAGAACTAAGCCCCATAATGATCCAAAGTTATGAAGGAAGAATTGGCCAAGGACCTCTGCCAGTTATGTTAACATTTTAATTTGAAATAATCTAAAATGCAACTGATGAGATTTGGTTTATGTATTCTCTTATTTGTCCCTCTGACACACCCTCTTCTTCCAAACAAAGTTTAAAAAGTTTCCCAAGACAGATTGATGAAGGGTCAAAGGAAACTCTTGACCCAACTTGTCGGCAGCATAGAAATAAAACACAAGGCTCTCTACCAGACCAAGTGTGAGTCATTGTAATCAGATGAAATGATTGCAGGACAATAGAGGGAAGGAGGGGAGGGGGGGTCTGAGCATCTGCCGAGTGCAGGGAAACCCTCAAACCTGCATGATGCTAGGACACAGGCTTTACTCTGTGAGAAGCTGCTAGAGAAGGGATACCCCAGTCCAATAGATTTCATTAACGTACTGCATAAATTACCACGATCTGATAGACTAGATTTTTTGTAGGGCTCACTAAGCATAATGGCTTGTTTCATGCATGCAATATACAAGAGTTTATTTCAAACATCCCTATCTTATGCCACCAAACCCTGGCAAACCAGAACCCACTGAAAAATGGATTTAGCTCCAGGGCAGATGTGAATATCAAAGAGAAGGCACATCTTGCTCACGGTTAACCTGCATGTGCATGAGTGCTGCGCACAGCATAGTTAATGGATACAGTCATTTCTCTAAGGGAGACCAGTCAGGAAAATGTTAAAATAGCATTTAACACTGAATGCACCAGAATATTAATTTCTCCATTCTGTAGGGGTGAAAATGGCAGGTGTATCTATGGCAACACTTAGTTCGCCCTAAACAGGATGCGGGACATAGTTTGTGGACTCACCCGAGCTCCTGACTAATGTTTGACTTGTGATGACTGACTGATCTGTCTTTCCGGATTCATATCCTTGGCTTCACCAGCCTATTAACCCCACTGTAACAGCTAATGCTCCAAGTTGGTCAAGGTAAAATTAAATTTGCAGAAAGAGTTAAATGTAAGGTCCAGCAGTGATTTGAAGTAAATGTTTGCTTAAAAACAGTGCGGCCACTGTCAGAGTTAAAAAAACGGTTCACAAATGTGTGCATGGGGGTTCATTGTAATATACTTCTAAAAATTCAACTGTATCTGCTTACTGATTTACGCCCCTTGCTTGGTTTAAACCATGCCTTTGTTGTGATGGCACAGTTTATGCTTATTCGCTTAACAATGAGCAGTTGTAAAATAAAAAAAAATAATATATAATTAATACATGTTAAAGGACCACTATAGTAGCACTATAGTGCCCTGAGGGTGCCCCCACCCTCAGGGTCCCCCTCCCGCCCGGCTCTGGAAGGAGGAAAAGGGTTAAAACTTACCTTTTTCCAGCGCTGGGCGGGGAGCTCTCCTCTTCTCCTCCCAGTCGGCTGAATGCGCACGCGCGGCAAAAGCTGCGCGCTCATTCAGCCGGTTACATAGGAAAGCATTTACAATGCTTTCCTATGGACGCTGGCGTGCTCTCACTGTGATTTTCACAGTGAGAAGCACGCAAGCGCCTCTAGCGGCTGTCAATGAGACAGCCACTAGAGGATTTGGGGGAAGGCTTAACCCATTCATAAACATAGCAGTTTCTCTGAAACTGCTATGTTTATAAAAGAATGGGTTAACCCAAGCTGGACCTGGCACCCAGACCACTTCATTAAGCTGAAGTGGTCTGGGTGCCTAGAGTGGTCCTTTAAACAAAAATCTGCACACCAGTCAAGCCATAAGACTTGCTTTTCCCACAGAAATCCCATAACTGCAGCGATGTTACAAATGCAGAGGATTCTGGGTGGGCATATGCAAATTAGTTTAACAAAGAATCACATTTTTGCCTCATTCCATTTTAAACATGGATTCCTTTTAATCTGTGTTTGCTGTATACAACAGTTTGGAACACAATATAGGAAAAACCCAGAATCCTTTGCGGTTGTAACATTGCTGCAGTTATGGGATTTCTGTGGGAAAAGCAAGTCTTATGGCTTGACTGGTGTACAGATTTTTGTTTAACATTGTATTAATTATCCACAGACTTCAGGTGGAACGGGTTTTCAATCACAATTTTTCCCCCACCATAACACTAACACACACCCCCATTTTGGGATAATAAGTAAAGCCAGTTGTCAACTCATTGCTTAGTTAATAAAGCCTTTGAGATGCAGTTACTAAGGCAGGTCTCTTTCAAATCTATCCTTGAAGGCAGTGATTAGAGCTTTATTTTCTAAAAGGATTAGCCTGTAATTAGCCAATTATCTTCATGTTTCCTTAAACCAAGTATCACCCTGAAAATCTGGCGTGTCAGCTGACCTCCAGTTTACAGAACTAGTTACAAATACTTTTAACACACACACACACACACACACACACACACACACACACACACACACACACACACACACACACACACACACACACACACACACACACACACAAAAGCTTAAAAAGCAAACAAATGTCTATTTCTTCTTCATTCTCTGTTGAGGACAATACACATTGGCCCCATAGCTGCAACAACTGAAAGGCCACTGGGGAACCAGCCCAGGCAGGTTTTTAAATAGTTAAGATACCACACACTTAAAGCTTCCTAAATGCAGTGCTATGGGCAAAGTTAAGTACAACGTTTCTGGAGTGGCCTAGTATGTGGCTTTTATCTTCCTTACCTGGCCCCTGCCATCATGCCATGTGGCAGTTACCACCATCCCATACCCAACCTGTTGCACAAGAGATAAGCCCCCTCCTTGCCCTCTAGCATGCTGGGAGGCAGGGGGCAGAAATTCTCTTAGCAGCAGCTGGTGGGGAGGATTACAGAAATCTACCCCCAAGGCATTGACTCCACACCCCTCCTGCTTGGCCAGACCTGACCTTTGACTCCAATTTGTTACTAGGAATACCAAACTTTCTCCGCTAAATAAAGAGAAACAACAAAAATAGGAATGATTTCAAATACTGAAATGCACCTGAATGCGGTCATGGAGATCACTGCTATCTTGCTGCAACAGCCAGACCCCTCCACTAGTCTTTTAAAAATCCTTACTGTAAAGCAGGGTAAATAAAGCACATTGCTGGCATTCCCCGATGTCAGGAAGATTTAGGAGCAGCCCACGCCTCCATTGAGCCAAGGCACGGATTAAAAATAAAGATTGCAGAGGCCAATTACATTAAAACACATGGAGTTGACTCCCTTTACATAGAAGATAAGGGAGGGGGGGGAATAAGCAGCATGCAGTGGGTGGGTAAGAGTAGATGGTGGGAGAGTTGGAATTCAAGCTGCTGGCCAAAAACTGAGAGAAAAAGAGACAGTCATCAAGGTCAAGAATACCCAAACCTCAAAGTTCTTGCCTCTCCAGAATCCCACGCACACATCTGTGGAGACACATTTATGGCCTTTTTCCACTCAAAGAACAGGCAGTCTCTTGTCTGAAACCAAATGTATCTTTTAATGGTAGAGATATAAAAATCGTACAAGATTTCAGCCTACATTTTAGGGCATTTTCCCCCTAGACCTCGAAATACAATCCCTTGCTAGGCATAGTGCTTTCCGCATGGTCACCAGTGTTGAAAAAAAAAAAATACAGTACTAGTGGCCAGACATAGAAACTGGTCTTTAACACCTTAAGGACATAGCTTCAGATGCAAAAAGCCAACGTGACAGAAAATGCCGATCATGTTTTCTTAAGGGGTTAAAGTGTAAGAGTGTAAAGTTAGATGAGACCCCTGTCCCTTTAATGCTCACACGCGGATTCTCTCCACTACAATACCAGTTGTAACAGCAGAGCAACCCAGCCATAGTTTATCATCCGGTACAAATTCCATCATATCCACATCGGATTTCCTACACAATTCAAACTTTCCTGTTTGAGACCCGGTTCCTGTCACTGATCTTCCCCTCACATGGTCACATCTCACAGTGAACTTTCGGGGCTTCGCAGCACAGAAGGGAAATTAAATTTCCTCTTGGAGCTTTCAATTAAACCCTCATCTATTTTTCCTATGCACGCTTGCCTGCAAGACCAGTAGTAGGTTATGGGATAGATAATTAGCCAGTGAGGGGGATTATGGATAGAAAATGCTTCTATTCTATAACCAACATTATTGCTCTCATGGAATAGGCAAACTTGGGAAGATTTATCGGTTTATAAATTCAAATAAACAGAATTAATTATAAACACTGAAGATATTAGAGGCTTGTGTCATATAGCGTTTACAGACAGCACTTCCAATTACATAAACTGCATATTACAGTCATTGGTACCAAAGAGAAATTATAATATTGTAAATTTGCCCATGATTTTAACAAATCTTGCCAAACAGCTGCCAGACACCTCTCCATGGAATATTCAGAATTCGTAAATGAAACACAACCCGGTTCTGACTACAAGTAATTCTCCAAATATCGTTTCCTGAAGGTCTGGCACCTGTGCCTTGCAATGAAAGGAGCTGGTGTTTGCAAGGTGTGGGAACAGTGCAACGAGGAGTTGGCAAACCAGTACAGAGATGGTCCCCACTGAAAGCCACCAGTCATTGCTCCCTGACCTGATTTTGTGCTAGTGACAGCACCACCCTGTTCCCACGGATCTCGTGAAGCTCACCTGTCCAGACTGATTCACATCCTGACAAACAGGCCCTGGAAAGCACTCAGGGCTTCCAAATAAAGGCATTCCTCACGCCCCAGGTGACAAGGAAACAGGCAAATGGTCTGGGGCCAATGCTAGGAATATATACCAGTGAAGATGGCATCTCACAACTGACTGATCTGCTTGACTGTCATATTAACGCTCTGGTTGCTGGACTATGTCATGACTATTACATCAACACAAGACAAACTGTACCTCCTCAAGAGCACAATACAACCCTTTAAACTGAAAATAAAATATGCCTCAATACTAATGCATTTTCTTAAAATAATGCACTGGTAAGAAATGGGTTTTTTTTTTCAAAAATCTCAGTTAAAACACATTGCTAACAGTTTACTTCACAAATTTTTTTATTTTTTTTTAAATAATAATATTCATTCCCTCTGTGATGCTGGCCTATTTAATCTCTTTTCCCTAGAGGGGATTGCAAAAAATCTGAATAAGCATTTATCCCAATATACAAGGGCACTGTATCCCCCTGTGCCTAGGCTGTAAAATTGTGAGAATTTAAACTTACCACAGAAAAGGATAAAAATAGTCTTTGTGTCCCTTTCCCAGAACCCTGGGGTCAGCTCCCTGCAGCTTGTGCCAGCACACAGCATAGCAGAAGGGATCCATCCAAGGGCCTCTCAAGTAAAACGCTTTATTTAGACAGGCTGTTTATTTATGAGGGAGGGACAGGGAGTGCTGGTGAGTAATATTTATTTAAAATAGACAGAACATTAAAAATATTTTAATAAAATGGGGTCAACTTTACATCTTAGGACAATACCAGGTTCTTGAACAGAGAGAATTTCATGCACTTTTAGAAGAAATTATGTTCAAATAGCAACAGAAAATATTGTTGGGGGATTTATTTCTAGGTAGAGTGTGTGCCAGGTGGAAAGTCGATTTTCCCCCAAACAGTAAAGCAATATTAATAAAAAGATACTGCCATACTTTGTGCAGCTGGCATGGATGAAGTGGCATTACTTTTTGTGTGGTGAACTGGTTTGTTACAAATCACACCTCTCTTTGTGAAATCATGTGTTACCACCCCCTCTGTTTGTCTATCCAGATCCTGATTCTCTGCCTTGCCTTCTGACATTGACGGTCACACGCCGTATACATGCTCATGTAGAAATTTCAATAGCAAGTACCTACCCGAAATCTTGATGAACAGGTTAATATGCTAAAGGAATAGGAAATACTAGATTTGCTGGTTTAACTTTGACACAGAAGTGAACCCCACAAAGTTTTATCCCCCAGATTCTCTGGGTATTCTCTTCTTACAAGCAGTTTCTTATTTATAAACCATCCTACCAGCAATTCCAGTCAGTTTAGCACTTTAACAAATCTCTAATTACAACAAGTCTTATCACTAATCCTATATTCCAAAGCATCACCATCACAGCTATGTGTTAAAGAGCCTGGGGCCCCTCCAGGGACAAACTGTGTGTCCTATTTGTGTGCCATATGGACAAACTGCCATCAAAAGAAGAGTCCACCACAGATCCCAGAACAACACACTCCCCTGAGTGTATAGGGGAGGAAATATCCTATTTTGAATCTCACTAAATACATTTTCCAGTTTACTCAAAATCCTTGCATTTTTATGTTAATAATAAATGGCAATGTTGGGAAACACTTTATCAGCATTTTCCGACTCATTACACCAGCCTACACCCTGTCCGAAATTCCATAATGTATTTCACGCTCCTGCAAGGAGAAGGTGTACATTGCAGTTACTCATTCCTCACATATTTCCCTCCAACCCCCACTGGTTTGGGGAGTTTAAGGACACCTGCAGGGTACTGTCTGTCTGCTTCTCTCTTTGGGATTGGCTGGTGAATTTGACCTTCATCCTCTCAAGGCTCGCATATTCTCTTGGAGAATTTAGACACAGACAATCTGGATCCAATAAAAAGATCGTTAATGTTTAGGCTCCTGAAGGAGCTAGGCATAAATCTTCAGAAGCTCCCACTGTGCCCACTAGCTACAGGAAAGAAAAAGCCTCTATTAGTTCTTCGAATGCTTGCGGTGTGTTGGAGCTTGGAAAGGAGTCCATTTGCGATAGAAATATAGGTTATGAGCAGACTTGGCAGTTAACGGAATATAAAGAAAGTGTTTTGCACATGCAAGACAAATATTACCAAGCCCCCTTCCCTTGAGCTCTGCTGGCAAGGAATAGGGTAGTAGTGGCATTTCTAGACAGGAACCAGTCTGCCGATATACAAAGGTATAGACTGTATATGAATAAAGTGAATTGAGCAATTGCAGGGTTGTTCCTTGCAAAGCACCCTACAGTTCAAGGGAACTCGTGAGGCAGGTTTTAAAATCTTTAATTTGCTTTGAGCCTGTCCAAACTCTTGCAAGAACAAGATGGATTCTGAGCCTCCTTGCGTTTCAAACAGTACATCCAATTGAAAAATGTGCCATGAAAATAAAATACATTTATGGTGATGGAATCTTTTTCCCATAAATCAAAATGCACAGGATAAAGTCTTCCATTGGAATAAATTGTATAGGTTCCCCAATAATAAAATTTATAGCAGGTGGAATAGAAGGTGAAGCAAGAGTGGAATGTGTCACAGCACTCTGAGTTAAAATATTAGTTTAATGCAGTTTTCATTGGGTGCCCAGCGTGGAGGTAGCAGCCACGGCAAAAGTATCTAGTTATTTGTAAAACCAAAAGAGAAAAACACAAAACAGAACGATATGTCTGGATGTTTGATTAAAGGGAACATGTAGGGTCAGAAGAAATAGCCTTTAATTCTGGATTCTCTGTCCATTGAGAATTGGTTATAGATTACACATGATCAGGAGGCCTTACATGCTGAAAAGCCAGACAGCATTCAAAGGGTTAAAAAAGAAAAAGAAAAGAATGCTTGATCACACAATGACTGTAACATTGTAATGTTACAATCCTGAACATCTATTCACCATTGATGATGAACTACAATGTGAATGAATGTAGTAGTGCGAGCAGGCCCACATTCCAAGTGATAAAAAATAAAAAAAAATAAAAAAAATAAAAAAAAGGTACACGGAGTGGATCTGTCCTCCTTACCACCCTTCCCCGCATTCCACAGACCTGCCGTAAGCTGGGAGTTGGCCCCATCTGCTCTCCAGTGAGACGTGCCTGGGAACAGTGACAGCTATTGTTCCCCAGCAGACTGAGCATGAACCTGCCATACAGACTGCAATCCAGGAGTGTAGGGGGAAATCAGAATATGGGGGGGTTGGGGGTGAATAGACAGAGGAACCTGCCAGACTGAATTTCAAGGAGTAGAGGGGAATCGGGGGAATAGACAGCGGAACCTGCCATACAGAGTGGGATCCAGGAGAGGAAGGGAATCAGAATATAGGGGGGATTAAGTGAGGAACCTGCCACACAGACTGTAATCCAGTAGCAGAGGAGAACTAGCATATAGGGTAGAGAGGAACCTGATGCACAGACTGGATTCCATAACTAAATCAAAATAATAAAATGTACCGTTTTAATTTTATTATTTAATCCGTTAACTTCTGTTTAATTGTTTTTATTTCAAATCATCTGTAAAATCATCAATATAGGGTTTCACAAGCAACTATTATGTGGAGGATAACAATGTCTAAAGGCCTGAGAATGGAAGAGTGGGATGAAAAGCTTCAGGGATTCTGAGAAAGATTGACTTTTACATACAGCAAACTTGTCTACTGTATAGTATACTTCTGGATACAGCATTCCTGTGTTCTGGGGGCCATAATCAATAAAATGCTTTAATGACAGACAGAGATTGTTATTTCAATTACTTGAGTGAACAAAAGGAGGAATGTAAATTAAGGGCTCTGCATGAATGAGCTAGAAGTCCGATGTCCGTGTGGTATATACACAAGTAGAAGGCAGTTTAACAGCACAAGTAACCCATGCTGGTGAAAATGGCAGGATTTAAACTGGCTGCCACAACCAGTAAGTATAAGAAGGTGAGACTAGAATAATGCAGAGGGGATTTTTATTTTTTTGCATTGATCCTGCCATTTTTAAACCTGTGCACTGCTTGCACTCTGATCAATCCTCTGGCATGCAAACAGTAAAACTCAAACTGCCCATTCATGGTTTAAAAGCTTACCTTGGCACATGTCCCCCACTTTCTCATAGCCAGCCTGGCACAGACACTGTCCAATTGGAACAAGCCATTCGCCATCTGAATTGCAATGCATGCTTGGCTCCTCTCCGCCAACAGACACTGCATTTTCCACACACTTCCCAGAAACTTTCGCCAGTGGCTGCGATTCTGCTCCAGCTACAGTTTCTGGAAACTGGGCCATACCTTGGACCATTGCAGGGCATTTTTTGTAATAAATGCGTACAGACAGCAGTGCAACGCAGGCTCCTATATCCTGGAATGCCAGGTAAAATCCTTTGCGACTCAGCGGTCCCACAGTCCGAACTTCAACGTTTATCTTGACATTACGTGATGCAAAATCATCCCGCACTGTGATTTCATCAGGGGCAATTGTGTCAATCTTGCGAAACAGGCGTTTCTGAAAGTTGGTGCCGTAATCCACATCAGACTCTGCATAGAACAAATTGAAAGTCTCTTTACAGGCACCGGAGACCCCCGGAAAGCTGTTACAGTCACGCACAGTGAAGCGGAGTTCAATGAAGATGCGCTGTGCCTCACTGCGGTAAATCCAGTTGGTTCGAAGCCAGTTATCCTGGTCTCCTTCCTGTACATTGCACACGGAGTAGATGTAAATCATGCTTCCATTCATCACATTTTGCAGAAGGTCCCACTAAGGAGAGAAAATTATTGTGGTAAATAAATGCTTCATATACATTAACCACGTCAAAAACGTAAATCTTGCACAACTGGCACTTCTAGTAAGTTTTTCTCCAAATGTCCACAATATGGTACACATATGGTGTTTACCACACCTCTGTAAGAGATACAACATGTGTTTGTATGAAGACATGAAATATTTTTAATTAGAAGATCACAATTCTAGCCAAGTGGCTGCTGATTAGTGAAAGCACCCAGGATTATATCTGTCAGCGAAGTCTGAATAGCAGAGTAAATATCAATTAACCTCTGTACTTGTCACAGGAAAATGGGAAACCCAGTAGATACAGCCCCCCGAGTCTGCTAAACACTCTCTAATCCTTGGGGAACAACACAGCTGACATGTGTATAACCCACAGAAAAGTTCAACAGCACACACAGCTGGCAGCCTTCACTATCACTCCGTTACCATTCCTTGTATTCATAGATACAGACGCCAACAGGTGCCATGTTTTGCCTTGAAGGACTTTTGGTAATTACAAAGAACACTGCTCTTATACACCCAGGCTAGTAAGGAAAAAATAAAATAAATAAAGCACCACAGTAGTTCAATGGATAGGCTGAAGTTGAAGAATCAGAAAGCCAGTAATCCGGAGCAGGTTTGTAGAATCCTATGGCATACGATGGTGCCTTAAGTTAACTGTTTACACCATCTGTGTACACATTGTAAAGATACAATTTGGATTATCAGAGCCACTGTGCTGTTCAATAAAGATCATATAATTGTCCTGCACAGCCAGAGTTATTTATTTGGAGGGTTTAAAGGTGACATTTTCAGATAACCCATCTTTATAATTCAGACAGATCTCCACTTGTGAACCCCTTCTAGTTAAATTAAAGTTCCAATAATTCCCTATGAATAACTGAAGATTGGTTTGGAGCAAGGAGTTTGTCGGAAGCGTTTTTGGGGAGAGTGTGGGGGCGACACATCCATTCCAGCAACTAAAGGGTAAAGGAAATCACCTGACTTTGGCAAATCCTCTGGAAAGAATTCAGGGTAAAGGTAAAGCTCACAGGATTGGAAAGACAAATACAGCCTTCAGTAAATATCTGGTTATTCCAAAGTGACACAGGGGAAATCATAGCTCTTAGCAGGATCTGTAGCCCATATGCATATTATATCTTACAGCAGAGATTACATCCCATACCCCTAAAATAAAGTGCTTACTGAGCATTGATCTAGTGTATTTGTAGGTGGAACTTACCCCTTTTCCATAAGGGCTGGTCAGCCAGCCAAGTTCTCCCTGAGTCTTCTCGAAATCTAGCAGGACAACTGGGAACGAAGCAGAGGAGATAGTCGATAAGTGAAACAGATACACAATTGCAACTATTATTAACACCAACAATGTCCCTGCAACATGACCAGCCAGTTTACAGAGTACTAGAATTTCCATCATCTTAATTCATACTGATAGTCAGGCATTTGGTAAATAGAATTCCATGGCTGCTAAGTGTCTAAATAGAATAGCAGAATGATAAGCTTATTTAGTATGAAGTGAGCAGAAATACATTCTAACATTTTTGAAACATCACCCATGCATGCCATTTAAAAAGACAAAACATCTAATAAACAAGCAGGCTGCCATTTTCAAAATTTCAGGATTGCAAAGTCATGCCCAGACATGCCTTGCTGTATGGAGCCAAAACTCCGCATAGAAGGGCATTTCTGGGTGAGATCATTTGAAAAGTGTGAGTCACAATGAAATTTTGTTGACCCCACACAGATACATAAAAACACAAATCATTCGACATAATCCACCATTAAGAAAATGACAGATAAGGGAATCTGTCCCACTTGCTAAGAAACTACTATAAAAAGTGGCTGCACAGAGAGAACCCTTACATTTATTCCAGAGTTACACTCATTATTTAGTGCTACAACTTCACTTATGGTGAGCTATTTTGGTCTAAAAGGTTTCAAGATGGCTGCTAGGTCTAAGCAAGTCCATGTAAACCACTACTGTTGTATAAATGCAGAGTTGACAACAAAAATAGTAATACTTTTACAAAACATTACAAAGCTGTGATGTGAGACTTGCTGTAATAACATGCTTTGAGGCACCCACATAAGTGAAGTGTTCAGTATAAGTTCAGGAATCTCATGTTATTTATCTTTAAAAGCAAATTGATTTCTCAGTTCATCATATAATTGGCTTGATGTGCCAGTTTCACTTTCATTTGAGTGGTAAGCGAAATGAGCCCCTAGTGAGTGGTGAGGAAATGTCTCTAAGGTGTGGCCCTCAGCTTGAAATCCTGAACTCCTGGTATAAATGCCCCCTCCCTGGATAAACAGAGCAGAGTACACAAAGCAGTGAAAGAACTTGGCAAATCTGGGTGCAGAGGGCATAGCAATGTAAACCATCCTCTACCACCTACACAAATTCACAACGGTGATGATCACTGGTTTAATATCCTCGTACACACACACATTACAAAGATAGCATGACATTGACAAAACTCTTTGTGTTATATATTCCTGCAGACTAAAAGTAAAACTGGGAATTGTGGAACATTGGCAAGTTCATTGCAAATACTATTCCAGAACAGTAAATTTGGAAAATGTCACCAGTTCAGTTAGTTTAGCCTATAAATGGCAATGACCCTAATTTCTCAGTTTAGTTAATACACCACACAGAGTTTCAAATTGTATTTCAGGTTTAAGACCAGAATAGCCAAACTATAAAAAGTTCTAGCTCGGCTCTTATGGCTTAAATATTAAATTCCCCTTGAAATCCCAACAGTTCTCACTTTAGTGAATAACCATATATGAAACCGATGCCCCAAATGCAAATCATCTCCAGGGGTAGGAACGACTGCCAGCTGCTTCCTACAGATAACACACAAAGTGAGCCAAGATAAATAAGCACTGATTGCTATAGGAAAATAATGGTTTTATTAGAACAAAAAGGGGAGAGGATGGAATTATATCATTATGTATCTTAATAGTTCTAGTGTTGAAATAAATGGTATATGGCATTGGATTTCTCAGTTTGAACTTAACGGTTTGCTGCAGTTTTGACCCAGGCCTGGCAGGCTGTGGAGAGGTTAATGAGTTATTGCCTCCTTTTCTCCGGAGGTTACAGTATGCCTAAAAACGCAAGGGGCAAAAACCTGATTAACAAAAAAAAAAAAAAAACGCAAGGGGCAGTAGGCTGGCCACATTCGGTCACGGGAAGGAAGAGGAGACATTCCTTGTTATGTATGGCAAGACAGCGTGATCCAAACCGGATAAGTCAAATCAGCCTTCCTGAGCTGGAAATTCCCTTCAGACGAAAAAACAAAAACAAAAAAACCCTACTACGTTACAGTCCTTTCTACTAACATTATCCCCATTGATACGGTCTGCATAATCGCATGCGCAAGAGTACAAAAGTTACATCGGCTCCTGGTACTACAGGACCCGCCAGAGGAAGATGGCGGCGCCTGCAAGGAAAGATTCAGGTAGGTAGACCTTACCTTTTCCTGCTTTCCCAGCCACCAGACGGCGATGTCCTTCCAGATGGTGACTGACACTTTAACACACACAATCTTTGCAGGGCTTGTCATTGTGTCATGACATAGGCCAAACTTAAACGCCACCTACAAGTCTCCACTCTACTTCTAGATCTATATTAGAAGGAAATTTTACAGGGAACTCTGAGCCGGAGACTTGTCTAATCCCAGGATAATGCTCTCCAACCCCCCCCAACCGAGGAAGAAATTCAGCATTTCCCACACCCTCTTCATCTGCAAGTCTATTCTTGTAGCACTCAAAATATAAAGATTCCAACATAGCCCATCAAATCTCTCACTTAGCTAAAATTCATGATCTTCTCAGATATTAAAAACATTCCAGTTTGTAAGTCAGGGGATGGGATTCTAATAAAAAGATGCACACATTCTAGAAAGAGACCCATGAAACACACAATATTAATTAAAGAGCATGGTGTTGCAGGGTTACCTTCCAGGTTGAATACAAAGTTTGTACTGTACAACAAGAAGTATCTAATAGGTCCAAATAACTGTGCTACCAAATATGTTTGCATTAGATTTCAAAGATTCAGCAATCATTTACTTAAGAGTCAACTTAATAGTCAATGTTAAAAAAATTAAATAAATAAAAAATAAAAAAGGGGGAGCAACAAAACTGAACTTTTCTGGATCCATTACGTCCCCATTTCTGGGTGAATATTGGTCTTCTACCATTCCTATTCCCCATTTTCCATAAAAAAAAAAAAAAATAAATAAAAAAAAAGAGAACAAAGCCAGAAAAGGAATGCAAACTGATTATTTATGCCTCTAGCAACCAGAGAATAGGACTGTAAACAGCACCAAAAAAAAAGAAGAAGACAACAAAGTTAGTAAAAGGGCTATAACCGCCTTTTATTATTCATGATTGGGGCCATCAGGAATTGTGAATGCATCTCATTAGCAACTCAATAGGACTGATGATCCCCCATCAAATGTGAGAACGAATTACCAGGTCATAACCAGAGCCAAGTGGTGGGAGGGTATTATCCAAGAGTCCACAATGTCAACATGGCCTCCTAAGTTTAAAATGGACAATCCTATATCCAAGGCTCTTAGGACCATGATGGGAGATACAGTTCACAAAAGCGAGATTTCCAATAGACTTGCCATAATAGCAGTGAGTGTAAACAAGTTACTCAATGTGATAATACCATTAATGATATTATCAATAACATAAAGATTTTGAAGAAGAAGAAAAATAAAAAGCTGGAATCCACAGATGTGCCCAAATGCTTGGCAGGATTCACTGGCTCATTTAGCAAGGAATTCAAAAGACTCTTGTTTTACAACACTAATGTACAACAGATTTTTTTATTTTTTATTAACTGTATCAGTTATCTTCTGTATCAATCAAAATAAGTAAAGTCTAGGATTAACATTCACATATAAAAAGCTGCCTGAAGGTTCTGTAAAGTACCAGTCAGTAATATATAAGAAAAATTCAACAGGGCAACCAAATAATATGGATTTCAGCTGTGATAAGAGAAATCTAAAGAGGATGATGGAAACTGTTCTTATGCAGGGTTTTTTGTTTTTTTTTATGCCCCAAGCATTTCCCAGCCTGTAAGGAATTTTGGGGTAATTGCGGCCTTCACATTATTGTGTGACTTCTTTTATATTCTTTACACCCAGCTAAGGAAGCAGAGGTTTATGGTTGTCAATAAATTTACATTGGTGCGGCCCTATGATACGTCACAGCAAGACATCAGCATTCCTCACCGTGAATCAGAGGTGTTCCTCCCTGATCACTATATCGTGAGCAATTCACCAGTAATGCCACAATAGGGACCAATCACACCAAAATATCCCTAAAACTGCAAACATCTGAAACCCACCAGTTCAGATAACTGCACCCTTATATAGTTCAGTCCGTTGAGAGTTGTAGTCAGGGTGGGGGATACACTTGACTAACTCCCATCAGGCAGAACTATTCTAGTTTGGATATTTTTTTCTCCAATATAAATTCGCAGCCCAGAGGGCTGCAAAAGGGGAACAAAGTGCACTGGTCATTTAATGGGAGACTATATGGAATCACTGACTGCTCACAGAGCAAAGTAAACTGAAATTACATCAATCTCACACTATGTTGGTAAGCCAATGAAATGAAGGCTGATTATTTTGTTTTCATCCTGAAATAAAGCATACTCATAAACCCACTTAACCCCTTTATGGCAGATGACCTATCAAACCATCCTTAAAACAAGTGATTAACCCAATATTGACATGGAAGGGTTCATTTCTACAATGCAGCTTCTGAAATCAGCAACACTAAACCATCTGCCCCTATTTCCAGCACTGAAATGAGGGCCAGTTATTAGAACGAGCCACTACGTACATATAATGTAATCATGGTAATTCACTGAATTCGGAATAGCCGAGTATTCAAAGGGAATTTACATTTTAGTTCAAAGAACCCAAATTTGAAAGACTCCATGTCAGCTATGCTTTCACAGCAGTTTTTTTTTTAGCTAAAAATATTTAAAAAGAAATTTCACACTATACAAAATAACCCTTTTGTGTGTAAAATATATATATATATATATAAAAAAAAAATAAAAAAAAAAACTTTCTAGAATCCGGAATAAAATACAAAAAATGCTAAAGTTTATTCACCAAATCAGGAACGGAGGAGAATCATGAACTGCACGCAAAAATAAAAAAAAAAAATAATAAAAAAAAAAAATTCGCTAAAACATGAAAAATATGCAAGTTTGAGAAATTATCAAACACTTTTAGCATAAAAATTGCAATTAACTTTGTCAACTCTTGGTTTAGTGACAAGTACAGCATGATCATGTTTATTTACAGGAAACTTTATTTACAGCTCAACTAAAAACTTAGCACACAGTCTCCCCCTCTGCGGTTCTGTGCTATGCTGTTGGGGTTAAGTTGTGTTAATAGTGCACTTTACTTAGCCAGATTACAAAGCAAAACAATCTACAATCAGAATTGACAAATGACCCCCTAAGGCTTACATAGCATGACAAGACTGCGGAGAATTGAACATTTCTGCCTTAGATTACAGAGCACTGTACAGAGACAGTGGATCAAACAAATCCAGGCTGCCTGCTGAGATTACAGGAAGCCACATACAGGACACAAGGGGTAAAATAAAAATCCTGTATGCAAAATGATCTGAGCAGCTGTGACAGGTACATACTGGATGTTGTAAAAGTATTATGTACACCTGAGAAAAAAAATTGAACATTTTATTGCAACCTATAATTAAGAGAAACTAAAATTAGTCTGATCACCTGTTCTTCCATACCTTGAATATGGAATCTAATATTTGGTAACTATCAATTACCCTATATAGTCTATGGCATCTTGTTCACTGGAATTGTATTCACCTGCTACTCTCTGGTACTCTATAGTTCTGGTTTCATTAATCTGTTATTCCATGGTACCCCATATACTAGGTCTCAGGTTGAAGTCAGGGTCAGGAACCATAGATCAATGGTACCCTGTACTCATGACTTCTGTAATCTGTTACTCCATGGTACCCTGTCTTTACAGTTCTAGAGAGAATGTGAAGTCTGGTGTGTGCCACGTGGGTTCCCTTGGCACATGGAATCTATAAAAGAAAGCAGAGTCTCCCTGGGGCCTTCACTTACTATTTTTGAAGCTTACATATTCAACACATTGTTCCAAAATATATCTGGCACTTTTTTTTATTCCCATTATTCACAGCCTGCATGTGATCACATAGCTGAAGCGTTCTAATTATACAAAACAATTAAACATAAGGTATTACTGAAGGAATAACCGTTACAAAGACCCTCAGATGAGGATCTACTGAAGTGCATTTAGAACAGGAAATGGTTTGGTGAGAGAAACAGGGGCTTCACTAATAATCGTGTAGTTAGTCAGAGTTTCAGATATGAGGAGTCCAATGCCACTGGGATAATAGGAGAGAACATAGGAACCAAAGAAAATCTGAAGGGGCAGCCTTTCATTAAAATTCAAGCCCCACTCAGGGGGCATAAACATAGAAAACACACAGCTTTCTACAGACTAAATGATAAAGTATCACTCGGAAGTATAATGCTAGAATACGATGTAACCAACTCTATTAACATCGTTTTCTTTTTTTCTTATCAACCTGAAACATATGATCTTAAAATCTACACCAAATTTACAGAGAAGCAGGGGGTAAATTACCAACACCCATAGGACAGAGACTAGCAACCAAGCCTAGCACCCCTCTAGTAACCACAGGGAAAGACTAGAACCAGAATCTGTAAAAATAAACCTCCTGAACCACTGAAATTACAAACCCACTTGGAGTTCAGACAAACTTCCAGCAACTGGGTCTATAAGCAACCTGTTAGAGAGGGTTTATAGCACTGAGAAATGGTTAATAATGAATCTGTTATTCAGTATTGACCCTAACATTGCAGCATGGGCAAACTATGTAAAAGAACCTGAAGAAGTAGTCAGCGCACATTCACACAGTGACAAATTCCCCAACACAACAGACCGGTTCCAGCCACAACCCAGCCATAAATTCAGCGTTACTCACTTCCAGGGTAACAGCCCCCCACATTACCAACAATGGGGGCACAAGTAACAGCTGTCAGTATGTCTGTCATTTATACAGATCAGGAAAATCTAAAATCCCTCAAGTCTGAAAGTCAAAGACAACAAATTCTTAATGAAGCCCAAATTCACTGACAGGGTTATTCAATAAAGTGAGAATTCTAAGTGAATTTCAAATTTAAGGCCAGAGTAGCAGAACTGGAAGCATAGCTGACAGAGGATTTTTCCCATTCAGTTATTTTGACCTTAAATTTACTTAGAAATCTCACCAGTGAATAACCCTGCAAATGTCACACTAGCAAATCGTAAAACCAGCAATACGGGGAGCAATAGGTTAACACCAAGTTTCTTTTACACTGACATCCTGATATAAACTCCCAGCCAGGACCACTCACACTACCACCCCAAAAACCTCCCAGCCAGGACCACTCACACTACCACCCCAAAAACCTCCCAGCCAGGACCACTCACACTACCACCCCAAAAACCTCCCAGCCAGGACCACTTACACTATCACCCCAAGAAAGCTCCCAGTCAGAGCCACTCACACTGTCACCCCAAGAAAGCTCCCAGTCAGATCCACTCACACTGTCACCCCACGAAAGCTCCCAGTCAGAGCCACTCACACTGTCACCCCAAGAAAGCTCCCAGTCAGATCCACTCACACTGTCACCCCACGAAAGCTCCCAGTCAGAGCCACTCACACTGTCACCCCAAGAAAGCTCCCAGTCAGAGCCACTCACACTGTCACCCCAAGAAAGCTCCCAGTCAGAGCCACTCACACTGTCACCCCAAGAAAGCTCCCAGTCAGAGCCACTCACACTGTCACCCCACGAAAGCGCCCAGTCAGAGCCACTCACACTGTCACCCCAAAAAATGTCTAAGTCAGCCAGGGCCACTTACACCGATACTTCAATAAAGTTCCCAGCCAGGGTAACTCAAGCCGTTACCCCAATAGAAGTCCAGGACAGGACCACTCACTCCAACACCTCACTCCAACTTTCAGAGAGGGTTGGAAGTATAACAACCATACAGGGGTTCTCACTCATTCACCCCAACATAGACACAGCCACTGACCTTCATTAGTTTGTAGAGACAGGAAAACGTTGCTGATAAAGAAGGTGATGAGGGTGAGTTTTTGCGCCCCCATGTTGCCTCCCTGAGTCTCTGGAGTTGGTGTGAGTAATGATCTCTACTGCTCATTCATGCCCTACTTCTGGCCACGCCCACCTCCCACTTTAAAGGGACAGTGCAGGCTCGCCCAGCCCTCTGTCTGTGAGCTGTGCTCGGCTTTGATCCTCCTCCTGCTGCCTGCATGACAAGCCCTGCTCACAGAGTGCACACTTCACCTAGAAAGCTCAAAGCAGCCATTGTTAGGATGCGTCTGATGGATTGCTTTATTGTGTGAACTTGGAGGAAAAGCACTCTGTACGCGGATAAAGCCGACCTCTGTATAACACAGCAGGCATCTCCACAGCTGCTTCCTCTGTATCATACAGCATGCTACCTCTGTACAACAACAACTGCTGCCTCTCTGTAATATATAAATCCAGTGATACAAACTATGTATAACATGCCATGCAAATCTAACGCTCCTGCCTCTGTATAACATGCCATGCAAATCTAACGCTCCTGCCTCTGTATAACATGCCATGCAAATCTAACGCTCCTGCCTCTGTATAACATGCCATGCAAATCTAACGCTCCTGCCTCTATATAACATGCCATGCAAATCTAACGCTCCGGCCTCTGTATAACATGCCATGCAAATCTAACGCTCCTGCCTCTGTATAACATGCCATGCAAATCTAACGCTCCTGCCTCTGTATAACATGCCATGCAAATCTAACGCTCCGGCCTCTGTATAACATGCCATGCAAATCTAACGCTCCGGCCTCTGTATAACATGCCATGCAAATCTAACGCTCCTGCCTCTGTATAACATGCCATGCAAATCTAACGCTCCTGCCCCTGTATAACATGCCATGCGAATCTAACGCTCCTGCCTCTGTATAACATGCCATGCAAATCTAACGCTCCTGCCTCTGCATAACACTCCATGCATGGCCCGTGCTGCTACCTCTGTATAACACTCCATGCATGACTGGTGCTGCTACCTCTGTATAACACTCCATGCATGGCTGGTGTTGCTACATCTGTTTAACACTCCATGCATGCCTGGTGCTGCTACCTCTGTATAACACCATGCATAGCTGGTGCTACTACCTCTGTATAAAATAAAATGTTATAAACGGTTTATTTACTAAACAGTGGATTGAAAACCAAAATGCTAAATTATTGCTAAATGTTCAGAGTTGGAAAATCTTTGTAAATAGGTTGTCTTGGCTTAAATCTTGTAAATCAGTTTTCATTTCACTGCAGCATTAGTCACTAAAATATAAATGATCAGGAATTCAAAGTCCGCAGAAGGTTTTATGTAACATTTTCAAGGAACAATCCGAGCACAATAACCACTACAGCTCTGCGCTCTCTGTAGCGGCTACTGTGCCAAGAGTGCCCTCCATTGTAAGTAGTCAAACTATTTTAGAGCACTTAAAGGGACACTCCAGGCACCAAAACAACTTCATCTAATTCAAGTTGTTATGGTGCAAGGAGGCCCCCCGAGGCACACTGACATCAAGGGGTTAAACTGTTGTTGAACGGTTTAACCCCACAGTTGTCTCCAGTGATGTCCACATCCCCCCAGGCAACATATGGCTTTTGAATTTTCAGATTCAAGAAGCTTGGAGTGCCAGCGGAGTGCGGTCAGCAGACGCTCTCAGCCAATCAGTGACTCCCCACATTCCACACTTCCTGAATCTGAAAATTCAGAAATTGAATGCTGCCAGGTGGGAGTGGACATCGCCACTAGAAGCAACTTTCGGGATGAGCTCCGATAGACAACTTCTGGCTCTCCATGAGAAGATGGAAGTAGTGGAGGAGGGAGTGGCACTTGGCAGACTCCAAGTGAAAGGTCAAACATATCTCTAATAGTTTAACTACTTACTATGAAGGGCACCTGTGCACTCCTGGCACAGTAACCACTACAGAGAGTGCCAAGCTGTAGTGGTTATTGTGCTTGGAGTTTCCTTGAAAATGTGAAATAAAATTTTTCAAGGAACAGGCTGCCAGGAGAATCGTTAAACCTAAAGGGCAGGCTGCTTTGAAGAACCTCATACACCTATAGAACAGCATGACACAAGCATTTTATACACCTATAGAACAGGCTGCTCTGAAGAACCTCATACACCTATAGAACAGCATGACACGAGAATTGTATACACTTTTAGAAGAGGCTGCTCTGGAGAACCTCATACACGTATAGAACAGGCTGCTAGGATAATCTCTCCACCCACAGCATAGGCTGCCAGGAAACCTCATACACCTATAGAACAGGATAATCTCTCCACCTATAGAACAGGATGACAGGAGAATCTCTCCACCTATAGAACAGGTAGCCAGGATAATCTCTCCACCTATAGAATAGGATGCCAGGAGAATCTCTTCACCTATAGAACAGGATGCCAGGAGAATCTCTCCACCTATAGAATAGGCTGCCAGGAGAATCTCCTACACCTACAGAAAAGATGGACAGGATAATCTCATACACCTATAGAACAGGATAATCTCTCCACCTATAGAATAGGCTGCCAGGAGAATCTCTCCACCTATAGCACAGGATGACAGGAGAATCTCATACACCTATAGAACAGGCTGCCAGGATAATCTCATGCACCTATAGAACAGGCTGCCAGGAGAATCTCTCCACCTATAGAACAGCATGACAGGTGAATCTCTCCACCTATAGAATAGGCTGCCAGGAGAATCTCCTACACCTATAGAATAGACGGACAGGAGAATATCATACACCTATATAACAGGATGACAGGAGAATCTCATGCACCTATACAACAGGCTGCCAGGAGAATCTCCTACACCTATAGAAAAGATGGACAGGAGAATCTCATACACCTATAGAACAGGATAATCTCTCCACCTATAGAATAGGCTGCCAGGAGAATCTCTCCACCTATAGCACAGGATGACAGGAGAATCTCATACACCTATAGAACAGGCTGCCAGGATAATCTCATGCACCTATAGAACAGGCTGCCAGGAGAATCTCTCCACCTATAGAACAGTATGACAGGTGAATCTCTCCACCTATAGAATAGGCTGCCAGGAGAATCTCCTACACCTATAGAATAGACGGACAGGAGAATATCATACACCTATATAACAGGATGACAGGAGAATCTCATACAACTATAGAACAGGCTGCCAGGAAAATCTCATGCACTTATACAACAGGCTGCCAGGAGAATCTCTCCACCTATAGAACAGTATGACAGGAGAATTTCTCCACCTATAGAATAGGCTGCCAGGATGCAGTTCTACACGTATATATAACAGGCAGTCAGGAGAATATCGACAGCTATAGGGCAGGCTGCTCTGCTCTAAGCCTATGAAACAGGATGACACAAGTATTGGTTCGTAGACATGCCATGAATCCACTACTTCTGCAGATAGGTCATTCAAAATTCCTCTGCAAATTTTAATTTTTAGCTAATGGGCTCAATCCATCTTGTGACAGGGATGCAAGGTCTCCTTCCTGTTTTTTACTGAATACCTTCTGTGATTTCAGGGGTTTAGCCTGCATTCCAGATTATTCCTTTCTGGTCCAAGTTAAGGTTACCAGATTCAATCTGTTTATTTATTGAAGGGACAGTCAGTATTGTTGTTATTAGGACCTACAACCTTTTCCAGATTTGTGATGATACCAGTCTAGAAAGACAAAAAGAGTGTGTCTCTGTATGTTATCACAGAAGGATCCATTTGTCCATGCATGTGTTTAACACATGTGCAATACCACACAGAGGAAAATCTAAGAACCCAGGGAAAAAAAATAGTAAAATACATGGTATAAAAATGGACACCATTTATATAGAGCACTGATGGATTATCTTGGCCCCTCAGATGTTTTTGAAAATCTCCCACAATGCTCTGCTTCAAGATGATGAAAATTATATTTGTCGAAATAAACATAGAAAATTTCTCCTCATGCTTCAGCCTTCAAGGAACACCGTTAACTCCAACACAACTTTATATGAAAGGAACACTGTAGTGTTAGGAATACAAAGCTGCCTCTGCCGCCATGTAAAGGGTTAAATAACTCTTTAAATACTTACCTTATCTAAAGCGTTGGGTCAGGTTCCTTCTCCGTCACGGATGCGAGGAGCCTAATGTGCATGGGCGCCTAGGAGGGAGCCACTAGAGGCAGTCTTAACACTGCAACTGGAATGTTTTACATTGCAGGAAGGGAACCCTATCCTGCAAGGCGGTTCCCAGTTTGATTAACAGGAGATTAAAAAAAAAAACAACTTGTAAAGTAAACACAATGTGCTGTCAAGTTAGTTTGAAAATGAAACACTTTTTTTATGGTGGCTTTGTGAGTCACAGTCAGGGGAGGTGTAACTAGGGCTGCATAAACAGAAACAATTTTTATGTAAAAGCTAAATGGCAGAGAAAACTGCAGTGAAACTGCAATGGCATGATCTATACACCAAAACAGAGACTTGTTTTTGTATCACTTTCAGCAATTCCACACATTGCTCCTTGGGTTTTGATACTGGTGCTAGTTTTCATGGAAGGATTTGCCAAGAGGCAGAGTAATCAAAAGCCTACATGCACCAGCTCTTACTGCAAATGGGCATCTCTTCCTTTTCCTCAATCCTGACATTCTGTGAATTATTTAAATCAATTACAGCAAGCAATGGACAGGACTGGATACTAACACCAGAGATGTAAGCCTGGCCTTGCAAATGTCTCTCAGTTACAGTATCCACCACTGGCATCTGCTCAGGCAACACACAGCATGTATTTCTTCCTTAGGTAATACCCAGCATGCACTTCTTCCTCAGATAACACCCAGCATGCACTTCTTCCTCAGGTATTACCCAACATGCACTTCTTCCTCAGGTACTACCCAGCATGCACTTCTTCCTCAGGTATTACCCAGCATGCACTTCTTCCTCAGATAACACCCAGCATGCACTTCTTCCTCAGGTATTACCCAACATGCACTTCTTCCTCAGGTACTACCCAGCATGCACTTCTTCCTCAGGTATTACCCAGCATGCACTTCTTCCTCAGGTACTACCCAGCATGCACTTCTTCCTCAGGTATTACCCAACATGCACTTCTTCCTCA